GTTGTTGTTTGGGTCCAGCCAAAGAATTTAGTTTCCCTACACTTGAATTGTATCCTGAAACAAATGAGAGGGGCTCCTGCACATTAAGTACTTTGTTGTTTTAAATAAATAAGCTACCTGGGCTTTCTGTATGCTTATTTGTAAAGAAGAGGAATTATATAGTACTGAGCATTTATATTCAGCAATTCATGCTCACACTTCTTTTATTTAACTGAATGTATTTTTCTTTTTCATTGTTGTGATGATGCTGCAGCTATAATTTGTCACTTTACAATTAGAAAAACAGAAATAGCTGCTTTTCTTTCCCTCCTCCTAATGCCAGAATTCACTGCAGTATGAGAATAAAGTGCCCATTATAAAGACAAAGTGCTTAGGCCAAGAAAAGCCCATTCAAATTGTAATTCTGAATATTTTCCTAGGAAGTATTTAATCTGCATCCATACTGAACTTGATTTGTTTTTTTTTTTAATAGGAAAGAACTGTAACCATTAGAAGACAGACGGTAGGAGGATTTGGATTAAGTATAAAGGTAGTATGTGTTTTCCCACTGTTTCTTATGTTGTGTCAAAAAATATTTTATTTTTTAGAGAATGTGGTTGAGATCAAAAGGTGCTTGACTGAATGTTTACCTGCACTTTCAAGGAGTCCTGAAAGGTTTCATTAAGGGTTTGTGCACTTTTACAATAGGTAATAAACTTAGACTTCCTCTCCTCCCCCCATTAATGAGAGAACAATCAGAGGCACTATTTCATTATAAGCAAATTTATACTTTATACAGTTATGTGTATATAATGTAAAAGATAGAGAGCTGTATGCATGCTCTAGTTTATTGTACAGTTGTACTTTATTTTAAAGAGTTACTAATGTAGGCTAAATTATCATGGCAGGAACACAGTGTTGTGAGTTCTTAATGAGTTCTTCATTAAGTTCTGAGTTCCTTGTTTAAAAATATAGTGTCACCAGATGGAATCCAAATGTATCTTCTCTTCATAGCTGGGTAAACCTAGGAAATACACAAAAGCAAGAAAGAAAATCTTAAAGGTTGTACTTTATCTTTGAAGCAGCAGACCCCGGTGGCGCAATTGGTTAAACCATTTTGCTGGCAGGACTGCTGACTGTTTAAGGAGCTCCACTGCCTGCCGTTTATCTACCGGGCCCAATTCATGGTGCAGGTCTTGGCCTACAAAGCCCTGAATGGTTTGGGACCCTCCTACCTGTGAGACCGTATTTCCACCTACGAACCCACACTATCCCTTCGATCTTCTGGAGAGGCCCTTCTTTGGCTCCCCCCCCCCCCAGCATCACAAGTGTGACTTGCGGGGACGAAAGAGAGGGCCTTCTCTGCGGTGGCCCCGGCTCTGGAACTCACTTCCCAGAGACATTAGACAAGCCCCCACACTGGCAATCTTCAGTAGGAATTTGAAAACCTGGTTATTCCAATGTGCCTTCAGTGGTTGAATGAAAGATTCTCCCTGACCACACTTTGCACAAAATGTCCTTAGACGCACTTTACTTTATGGGTTGTG